ACAGCAAAACACTTGCAGCAAGGACGAAGCTGGAGCATGCTGTAGCCCCTGTGCTCCTGGGGTAGTATGGCCATGACACTGCTGCACTGCTGGGCTCTGTGCTGCTCATCAGTGTGACTTGTAGCATCCTTTGCTGCACATGGCTGTTATTCCTTCAGCAGTACAAATGAAGGGGAGCACAATGTGGGCTGCACTGGCAGCAAGGTGAGGTACGCACCCCTGAAATTAAAATGAGCACTTTCTCTCCCCCCACTCACCAGCCCACCCAGACATATACAGTCAGTCAAATACGCTCTGCCATAAAAATACCATACTTGCTAAAGAAGAACATGCACAGCCTGACTGGTTTTCTATCAAAATTTCCATGAACTTTCTGCTGCTTCTTGAACTGAGCAGGGAAGGTTGGAAGCACCAGCAATCTCTCCACGTGCAGGACACTTGGGTTTTCCAGGTTAGGAGGCGGATGAGAACGTGATGATCCTTTGACACTCAAAAATAAGTACTGGGGGTGAATTATTCCAAAGCAGCACGCAGCTTTCATTGATACTTCAGGGATCAGCTTCATCCAAATGGGGAGAAAATCCAGCTGGCCCAAAGCCCTTACAAGCATAAATGCTGGTTTTCCGGTACATATGGCAGTACCATTCAAAGAGCTATGACAATGATACTGTTTATAGCTCTGAAAATGGCGCTGCCATCTGCACCATGGTGCAGTGGCTCTCATCCCCAGGATGTGACTCTGCAGCAGGACCCTGCTCTTCTACATGCTCAAGTGTCCTGCTAAACACAGTGCAACTCCCAGGCCGTTAGTTGAAATAAACGAGAATGGAGGCTCGATTTTGGTTGAGAGATCCCTTCCATCTTAAGGAAAAGCACCCTTGAAGTTCCCATTGTGGTTGTCTGGAGGAAAAGACAAGGAAATGCTTCTGCATGGTCTTCTGTTGCTACAGTTGGCAATCGGAAAGGAAGCACTGGTCCCCAGGATGCTATTCCCTGCAAATGCTAAGGAGGCTGTTGCAGTGGTGCAAATGGAATATAGTGACACAAGACCACGTGCACACGCACATACACAAGTGCCAGTTTCCTCTTTTACCCTGTGTTTTAACAGGAGAAAAAGGGAAAGCCTTCCTCTCTCTCCTGATTTCCCCCATAAACTTGTTCTTTCCTTCACTTTTGATTAGAGTCAAGGTTTTGCAGTGGGAGAACACTGCACTCCCCTCCCAGACTAGTCCGTAAATGCTGCACAACATCAGACATTAATTTCTCCTGGAGAACAAGCACGTGGCATTCGCAGGGCATGATGCACACACTGCACCTACGTAGCAAGTTGCCAGATATCCACTTTCCAATTAATTCCAGTGTGCTGCTTGCAATGAAGCATTGATCCTTATTATTGCCCTTTCCAGCCAGAAGTCAGATCTAGGCTGGGTATTTCCAGTTGCTCTTTGAGAGCAGTTTCAAAATGGAAAGATTTATGATTTGAAAAATTGTGTAGCCCCTCACCGGTGTTGCTGAACCATATTTCCAAGAGCACTGTCCTATGACTGCAGCCATAACTCCTATCAGAGATTATTATTACACTAATGCATTGTTAAGGTAGGTATAAAGAGGAAAATGAGCTTTTCCTTCCCCTTGGCAGTGGTCTGCAGTCTCCAAGGGTAATTGTGAGAAAAGTTGTTTGTTACAGGTTGAAAATACTTTTTCTCATGTCTGAAGCATTTGAATCAGGTGTGTTCCTATGACGGGCACTGGCAGCTTTCCTCTCAGTGCTTTTAAGCCTCATAAAAACCCCAGCAGGATCTCAAATAACTTTTCTGCAGCCTCACTGAGTATCCCATCAATAACAACTGTGATGAAATCCACTGGGGGACATAAACAAGGACAAAAAGAGAAGCAGAAGAACAAGAAGCAGTTTTATCATCCCAGCTCTGTCTCTAGCCCATCCTAAATTGGCCCAGAGCTGTTATAACCTGTGGTGGTGACAGTGGCTCATGGGGTTGGCCGGAAGACTACTGCCACACTCTTAGTAGCTGCTTGCTCTAAGCTGTGAATCCTCAGCTACACAGAGCGTCCCTACCACGTACATATTTTGCCTTCAGTTTAACAACTAGGGATGGTATCACAAGTAATTCAGCGGTTTAGAGTGAGGTTAATGTAAGGGCTAAAATAGCATTATGGAGTTGAGTTACAGAAATATAAACAACTTTATTTTCTATTCACATTATAATAGAAAGGGTTCTAAAGGACAATGCAGTCTCAGAGGAAACATCTGCATAGTTTTGAGCATGTATTTTCTAAGTTTTAATTTGATTTTAAAGACAAGACTTGGCAATGCTTTGAATTTACTTGGCCCATGAAGGGAATACCTTACACAAGGTGCTGCATTATTTTATGAAATCATTGTTCAAAGGCACAGTCAATCCTCCTTTTTGAATACAATTTCGGGGAGCTATGGATCTGCTTTCTGTAGTATTTCAGGAAATGCATGCTGTGAAAGCTTTGTAAATAACTGTTTAAGGGACCAGGAATATAGGAGTGTGTTTTTGTGTTTCTCTGGCTCTGTAGGTAATCACAGAAGCTCAGCCATGGCTTAATGAATCTGTTGGAAGACTTCTGCCTTTGACCAACCCTGTGGAGATCCATTTGGAGACCCCATAAATATAGCTTCCTCCCAGAGTGAGGTTTTTTTAGCAGCAATTACTTGTACCAAAACACCGTAGTGCAGGTTCATTCTACCCCGATGCTCCAGCTCTGCTCTGACTCACAAAGGGAACCTCTCATTATCTTTCACCAGTGACACTGAGGCAGAGTCACCCACCTCCTTAACAAAAGAAAGAGAGTAATCCACATTAAACGGGGAGGCAGCCCCAACCAAAGTACTGTTCTTAACTAACTCTATCATTACAGCCTGCCAGGGCTTATCATTTCATCACACTTTCATGTTTTGGAACAGCTAAATTGACTTCCCGATGAATTATATGGTTCAGAGATTGCCTTGGCAGCCTGCATGGGGGTTTTTTTGCAGACCCTAATGAAAGCAGTGGTGACTTTAAAGACTGCGACAAATAAGGACTGGCCTTATCAGCATCAAATTGTGAAATACAGCTCTGCACATTTCACAACCAGGATAGCAGGAGTCCATCCTGTAAAGGAGCCTGCCAAGCCATGGGGTCAGATCTCCGATTCCTGCTAGCAGAGCAGTGTAAGAAGCACTGGACTGTGCTGATCAAGGATGAGGTGTCTCTGCCCATGGCAGAGGGGTTGGAACTAGATGATCTTAAGGTCCTTTCCAACCCTAACTATTCTATGATTCTGATTCACACAAGTGTGAACTGGCTTGTGCCAGTAGCACTTGGCTTTTTTGTCTTTGCTCCTTTCTGAAACTGAGCTACTCTCACTGTTGTCATGAGCTGGAGGGAGGTATTTTTCACTTCAACCAGGAAAGTGTAAAATCCTCCCAGACCAGACTGATAAGGTTCTGTAACTGTTTAGCACAGACACAATTGACTACACTATGGAAAATCGAGATTTTCATCTCTGTGATGAGCAGAGCAAGTGGAGAGGTGTTATGTTCAAGTGTTACTGGGTCACAGGATTTGGCAGCACCTCATCTTGGATTGCTCCAGGCAGAGGTTAATTATTTCAGCATAAAGTGAGTTAGCAGCACACAGAGCTGGAGAATGTAGATCACCATTTTCTTGATCTCTTCAGTTGAGGTATTTGGGAGAACTGCAGTCAAGATGGATTACAACTAAGTGATGGACATGTCAAGCAGTATTTATGCAGGGATAAGAGCATGTGACCATATGATGGGAAATGGCTAGAGAGAGGAAAGCAGACACAAAAACTCACATGAGGACATTTCACAAACACCTGACATACAGAACCAAGGGACTAACAGACACGTTAGACATCTATGTCTGAGATTTAGAACTTTGAATACTGTGTTCAACCCCCATCTAATTATGAATGCCCAGTAAAGTTTTTTGGATCCCTAAATGCAAAGAATACAGAAGAGTTACGAACCTGCTTGAAGCAAAAACTGCAGAAGCCTCCTAACCTGAGTCTGAGTGAGTCTCAGCTTTCCAGCTCCATCCCATCGCTTGGACAGGCTGGCATTGATGACAGCAGCTCAGTGAGCAAAACCAGATTTGGAGTTCAGCCTTCAGGTCATTTTATCCCAGAGAGAGTAAAGCTTGTTTCTTGCCCATCACCTCCAGACTTGTCACTGGTTTTGCATACTGATACCTGCTTGTATTTTCTGTGGTTTCCTCGTTTACATATACATGCAGTACAGGATGATTTTTTAACTTCTGTGGCTAATACCCCTTCTTAGGAAAAGGAAGGTGCTGTGGGTGCCACCTCCCAAGCCAATGACTGCTTACATACAGCAATATCAAGCAGCACATCAGCAACTGAGAAGAACTAGGATGACTTGCCCTCTGCATCCCTTTCCAAAGAAACATCTCAGAGGAATGTGACCAGCAGAATGAGGTCTTCTTTCACCCCACCTCACTCTTGTTGCCCTGGGTGCCAGCACAGTTTATGTCCCCCCATGAAGCCTTCCAGCAGGCGGCATGACACGGTGAAAGTGTCTGATGGCCTGAGGCTGCATTTGCACTCTGTGCATGCCTATTAACAGACATGCAAAAACGAGGTGTAGACAGACAGCTGGTCCATGACAGTTGGCTTAGGTAAAGGGGTAAATTGCAAAATTATAATCCCCACTGGGAGTGCTCATATGCAATGGAGTTCTCCTCGAACTGAGGTAGTGCTTGTTTGTGGTGTCCTTCAATGGTGTAGAACAGCATCTTTTCATAGTTGAAATGTGGCTGCAGGGTGCTCGTATGCAGAGCCTGGCCAGGAAAGGGTTACCAGAGACAGAGCAGTGAGATGGGTAGGGCAGCAGGAAGCCTAACAAGCCTCATGAGCACCAAGTGCCTCCGTGGAGAGGAGGAAATAAAAAGAGTAAACGTGGGAGAGCAGCACTGCTGTGTGCTGCAGTAGGTGCGGTGATTAAAGGAGCTCTGTTAGTGCTTGGCTGTCCTGGAGCTCATCAAAAAGGTGAGGGAAGGATATGAAAGATACTATGAGAGGCAGTGATAGCTGTGCTAATCCTGCTCTCACTGACAATTATTTCAGCTGAGGGAATCTTTGTGGGTTGGGAGTTATGGGGTTTGTACCTGGGCTCTTCGAAGTGGTTCTCTTTGTCTTTCTCCCAAGTGATACAGGGTGCTCTGTCTCCTCTCTGCCTGTCTAGCTGTATTTGTCTGTGGGGATGGGGAAGGACCTGAATATTGCTGAAAACTGGAGCTGCTGTCATAGCCTTTGAGGCCCAGGAACTGAACTCACAGGAGATGATATTGTGTGGAGTGATGCTGGCAGTCATCACAGGGAGACTGCTCTCCATGCCCTGGACACTGCAAAGGGTGAGAAGCCCTCTCCTTTAAGGAGCTTTATGGGTGCTCTTGGTCCTGTAAGTAGACCCAAAGGATAGTCCAACTGGCTCTGAAACACCCCAGAGTCTTCTCCTAATCCTCCAAGGTTCAGTGATGGCCAGCAACTGGGGGATGCTGGAAGTTACTGAGTTTTTCTTTTCTCTAGGAAGTGCTCAGTGTTCCCTTCCTGTTCAGCCAGGGATGCTGCCTCTGTGCTTGAGGTCCCTACTTCGTGTTAGTCTACTTTAAACTATCAACTTATGCAGCTTCCACTGCATTCAAAAAGGCATTTTGGTAACCCTTTGTTGCTGAGGAATGTCCTTTATTTCTAACAGCCTTTGAAGGGGTGGTGCCAGTTCTCCATCACTGGTTGGGAGTTCTGCAGTGTAAAACTTCAAAAGCAGGTTGAGCACCAGCACAGGGAGCAGATTGCAGCCTGATGACAGCTCTGACTCTGCATATGCTGCGTCCTACCCAGGGAACCTGGCTACGGAGAGTTACAGATGGCAGAAACAGAAACTGCGTTCTCCTCTTTGAACTCTGCTGCCTTAAAGCAGCTGTTGAAATCTGCTGCCTCTGTTCAATGTCTGAGTGTCCTAATGAGGAATAAACAGAAGCATCGAAGGGAAAAAGGAGAGAAACTCCCTGCCTGCCACAGATCCGTTGGGGTAATTGGAGGTTCTGCAGGTACTGGGAGGTATAATCTCTCCAGGTCTGTGGATTCATTGCCTAGATGCAGAGAGCATGGTGTGGAGAGCAGGTGGAGGGATTGGTAACACTGAGATGCTGGAGCAGCTGTGGGTGTCTGACACTGAAGAGTCAGATGCTTTCTTGTGTCTTCGGATGATCAACTATCAGTTCTTGTGACTTTCAGTCTCAGTTTCAAGGTAGGAATATTGCCATTGCAACCACCAGGATTTTTTTGGTCCTAAAATGAGCTCTGCTCTTTTTCCCTACTCTCTCCAGAAACATCTTGAGCAGGAAGCCAATTTCACACTTATTCCCTTCTTCTTTTTAATGTTCAGCTAATTGGAGCTATGTGTCTGGAGCTGCCTGGTCCCTGGAGCATTCCCATGATGCTTGTCCCACTGTGGGAGGAACTCAGCTGGAACCCTGCACACCATCTGGGAGAAGAAGAAGCCTCAGAGCTGTCAGAAGGTTTAATGGACTTAAGACAGGTACTGGAGTTTTCCCTATTGCTATAAGAACCTCTTATGGTTGTATCTAAACTCTAAGAATTATTAGAAGTCCTGTATCCTTTATGCATAGGTTGGTCAAGCCAGGGGCCGCAGAAAGCAGCTCTGTTCTGGTATGTGGTGTCATGCAGCCCTAATGTGAAATGAATCACAGCTTGTGACTGTCCTCTGTATCTTGTTCTATGCATTTGTGTGGTACCTACTGGTGAGACCCTGTGCTATTGTAGAACAGCCCTTTGAGTGAGGTCAACCATCACCAAAAGACAACCAGTGTTCCTGCTGCATGTTATCTGCAGCGATGAGCCCACCCTAAATGTTCTGGGGTGAAACATCTCCCTTCAGCTGAGGTTTCTGCCTCTGCTACACAAATCTTAAGCTATACGTCAAATGATCCTTTCAATTATGTTACAATAAATACAGAACAGACACACACAGAGCTGCAGTAATAAAAGAAAGGACTTACAGAGCATGTTCATGGTTAGACAGGAGCTGGTCTACTGCAGAAGAGCAGGAGGAGCTTGGAGACAGAGGAACAGCCACTTTTAGTGCAGAAAAGGTGAAAGACAGTGAGGTAGTAAGGAGAGAAAGTAAAAAACACAGATAGTTAATAGGAAAATGATTTCCAGCTAGCCCAACATTAAACACCAAGAAGACACTATATTCCAATAGTGTCAAAGCTAGAGCTACATCCCCAAGGCTCCCACTAAATCAGAGACACTGATTTTTACACTAGTAGCAATGGGGTTAGAACTGTGTGAGCCACCAGGTAGGGTCCTTCTTCATGAAACACTTTGGGAGTCCTTCAGCTTTTCGAGAATGTCCTTTTCCTGTCTCACAGATAGGATTTTAAACAGGAATTCTCTGCTGAGCACACTTTCTAAAAGCTCTCCAGTATTGCTGTAGGGAGGGATTTGATAGCTACATGTTGTCTTCCTCCTGTTAATTTCATGAGTACTGACCAGATCACTTGCTCTGTTTAAGGAGCCTCTTTTGAGGAAGCCACCTGTATCTCTTCAACAGTAGTCTAGGGAGTAGTAACTATGTCACTTAATTTCTACCCATGATAACTGACATGTTCACTGCTAAGAAATATGATTCATGGAGGCGACGTGGACCTGCCATAGATCCCTGGCTGGTGATCCTTGAACCTTTTGACTACTCCAGTATGCTGGAAATGTCTTTCTGCTTTTTCAAGTCGGGATGGGGGAGTAATAGTCAAGCTCCCTGATTTTGTTAGACTGCAGTGCAGGAATACAGCAGTTACTATTTAATTTTAGTAAAGGTATAACTGTACCTGGCTGCTAGCCAGCACCCGGTGCTAGCTTTAAAAATACACTGCTGAGGGCTGTGAACAAGGTACTGCTGGTCTCTCACCAGTCCTATGAAGTGTAACGGAGAATTACCAGTGCCTCTTCATGCACTCAGCAGCTCAATCTCCTGTCCTAATCTGCACTTTTCTCCTGACTGGCTGACATGAGCCTGATACAGTGCAAATGGAGAAGAAAAGTTCTTTTATAAACAGCAGCAGTTCAATGCAGAAAAGTTGAGAGCTGCTTAGTCCTTTCTATAAATAGGGATTACCTTGGATTTCAGTGGGGATTTTTTGCCCATTGACAAGGAGTCTGAAGATTTACAGGCATATGTTGGTCCCTGTTGTAGATCCTGAAGCCACTGTTCTCTTCACCTGGGCTACCCCAGGCATGAAAAGCACCCTGCTGTCTGTGTATAGCACAGGACCTTACTAAATGTCTCAACCAGTTCTATCCTTGGGGGTATCTTTCATTTCTTAAGATACAAGTAAAATAAAAGTCATGTTGTAATTGATAATTTTCTCTATTAAATAACTGCCCTCACTGTTAGAAATCTGTGCCTTATTTTCAATGTGAATGTTCCAATTTTAGATTTCAGCCACCAGATCCTCTTTTCACTGCCTTTTATACTAAAGGTTGTCCTCTGGAAGCTTTGATTAAAGACCAGCTTCCCCTTTGGGCACCAAATAAGAGATCATCTGTGAATTTCTCGCTGTAAGGTAGGCTTTCAAATAATATTTCAGTTACTTTGTGCTTTGTTCCCCCTGCGGTCACTTCTTTATTTCTACTTTATATTCCTTTTGTTTCTTCATTCATTGACAGGAGAGAACCTTTTGCCCTCCTGACCCATGGGGGTGCTGAGCTGCTGGATTTGTGTTCAGCTGCATGTCCTTACATACAAGCCTCATTCTCTGTGGACCTGTCCCTTCCCCAGATAGACCCCCTCCCACACTTACAAACAACTCACAGGAATCAGAAAAGGGGACTCTGATCCTTAACACCTGGCCAAAAAGGGAGTTTTGGGGAATTAAGAGGAGAAGGTAGCTGAAATCTAGCTGCAGTGGAGTGAAAGCTACCTATGTTTGCCTTTCCAGCCTTAGGGTATCATCTCCCCTCATATATCCAGGTCATTACAGGTACCCTTCCAAGAACCTGAGCAGAAAGTTATGGGATGAGAAGATGAGTTTTATCCCATACTTATATTTTTACTTAAAGGCATACATACATTTTGCAGATCACAAGGATCTAATTGCCTCCAAAACGCTCAGCACGCAGGTCTGTACTGAAAGCTAAAGGGAGAAGCACTGCTGAAATCAAAGCACTTTTACCGAGTCTGGGGTACCCTGAAATATTTGCTTGTAAATCTGTGTGTGTGCGCACACACCCACTGACTTCAACCATGCGGTGTTCTTCTGGAGCCATCCTACCTCATGTGCACAGCAGCCCATACTGCTCAACCATTAATTAAGCTGACCGTAAGAAGCCCAAGGTAAGCATACACAATTTTACTGACAAATTTTCCAAGGCAAACCCGTGTGAACCCATGCATAGGGGAAGAGAGATTTCTGAGGAAATTCATTTAGCCTACAGCTTATTTTAAAGGATTTTTATGGGCTTGTTTCAATATTTATTAAGGACAAAGATTCTTTCAAAAACAGAGAAGGAAATGATGTGTAACTGAAGTACATAATTCCCTAAGTTTTGAGCTGTTGTTTTTATGGACTCTTGCATCCTGTTTTCTTCGCTCCCATATGATCACAGATGTTGAACAGGGCTCTGTGTAACAAGGGAGTTCCAGGGATGCTGAGGTGCTGCAGAAGGTGCATCTCCTTGCTGGGGAGGTGGATGTGATGCTCCTGCTGGGATGGAGACGAGCAAATGTTTCCATCTTCTGTGCTGACAGTGCTGCCATTACCAGGTGCTGTGTTGTCAATGGTATGAAACTGAGCTCTTTGAAGATCTCTCGGTAACACTTCTTGAAGTGTCTTTCCTAATTGCTTCCTTGCCTCTGAAGTAGTTGCTTTGTTCAGTTCTTGTCTCAAATATTGTATCAAAGTGTTATAAAGTGCTTTTATTTCTAATGAATACTAACTATAGTGCTATGAAACTTGTCAAAAAAGCACCATAGGGCATGAATCACACGGAATATATTACATGTGCCTTCGATACATTAATGTAAACCGTTACTGGTTTTTTGCACTACCAGGCTGATGACAGATTAATGAATGATAAAATTATTCATACATAACATTAACTTAAGATACAACTGGCTTCTTGGTTTGTCTTTTCTTAGGTACAAGTACTCGAGTTTGCCTGCTTGGCTATGTTTCATGCAGCAAATGCTGCATTCCAATCCCTCCAAAGTGACAAATTCATGTTGTGTTTCCTTCACTTCTGAAAAAAAACCCAAAACATATTACCAGGGTTTGCACTTAAAACAGCTGTTACATGTCTTTCCAGAGGTGGCTTTGCTTCAGTGGTAGAAAAAGCACTGCCAAGACTCAGACGTTTGAAGACTTTGAGGCTAAAGGAATTTCAATACTTTATTTTGAGAGAGGAGAAGACTTCAGTGCAGGATAGTGCTCCTATGAGGATGTCATATTAAATGATGTGTGACATAACACAAAGACAAAGCACAAAAATGGAATAAAAATATGATGGGATGTAAGGAGATGTGAATTAACTTTTTGGCTTTTTCATTCATACAAATAGATGTGCATCAAATAAGCTAAATTTAGTCTGACATTATATATGTGTTGGATGAGCTGGAAGGCAGTCCAGAAAGAGTTACCCTGTACAGTGGTGTTTCCCAAGCTGTGTTGGCCTGCCTTCTTCCAGGGCAAAATGTAAGCTGTAAGCTGATGCACTTGCAAATGCCATACTAATGCTTGGCTGATACTATGGACTGCTTCAGTACCTGCCTGTTTTCAGGTATAGGAAAGCTAATGCTCTGTTAGCGACTGATGGGTCAGTGGTCCTTTGCAATACTGAATTCTCCTGGGATTGAATGAACTCACTAACAAAGCCTTTTACTAGCTTCAAAAGAATCAACAACCGACCTGAAAGAGCATCTTTCTGAACTAGAACAAAGTGAAGGATCTTGAAAGCAAACACATCCAGCTGCACTTGGATTCACAGTAGATGTAGCAGCATTTGCAGGTGCTTCAGCTGCTGTTATAAGCCTCAGTGTGCATTCCCACAGCACTGGTGTATTTGATGTTGTTACTTAAGGAGGCTGCTGCAGGCAGTGATGGCTGCTGCAAAAACATCTAACAGATACTGGCTTATACCTGACATTCTTCTCAGGTAATAGATAGAGCTTTATAGATAAAACTAAATGCTCTTCAGTACTGTGTGTCTCTTTAGTTACTAAAGTACCGTGCTGTGTTTGATGGGCGTATGGAATAGCACAAATCAACAGTTTAATTAACATCCCTTCTGTTAAGTCTGCAAGAACATCTCTTCAAAGACTGTTAGTGACACTGACACTTAACAAGCGTCAGTCAGAATCAACAAGCATCCTCGAGGGACACGACTGACTTTGAAACGATTGGCTCAGTCACTGCCGAGAAAGGTTTAACAAAGCAAGATGGTTATTTTGATTTGTGTGCCGGAAAACAGCATCAAAGAGAAGGAAGAAAGCAGGATGGACCCCAGCAGTGTTCTGCCTTTGCAGCACAGTACAGTTCAAGCAGCTCAGCTATATCCTAATGGTTACTCTGTTGTGCAAAACTCATTTCAAAGCCTGTGCCTGTACCGTGTCTGTGTTTTCTGGAATTAAAGTCCAGCTGAAGACTGTGGTAGGAGTCTCTGACTCTGGTATATGTGGAAGCACTCTAAACTAAACTGAGCTGCTGCTAGAGCTAGCACATCTTCCTCCCATGGTGAAAGAGGAAAAATGCCAGTGAATCTATCTACGAGTTAACTCTTCAGTCTAATAGGATAAACTTCAATTCTGCAGGAAGAAGGGAAAACTGTTGGAGCGTTCTCAAAAATCCTCATGTTTTCTGCAGTGAAAGTATGAGACTGAGCAATTTCAGGCAGCTCTGCATCCAACTGTGCCTGAGCCATTTCTGCTTTAGGGTCAGAATGCCTCTGTACTTGGAGTTAATTTATAAACATTTTACATAAAAAATGCTGAAGCTCAGTTTGAGCCAAGTTTATGACATCCGGGGAGGAAGGAGCCTGCCTCTCTATGACCAGATGTTTACATGTTATCGCTCCCTCCAAATGATCTCTCAGAAAAAAATGCATGTTTCTTGACAGAGTGTGATGGTCGAGTCCCACCATGGATTTACCAGTTGCCACTGACATCATGGATAGCAGCAGAAACCTCTTAAGCATCAAGAAGATGATATTTCCTCTAATCTAAACAAATCAGTCCACCCTTAAACTTCTTTGCTGGTGGTCTGGAGCCCTGCAGCAGATTCCTGCCAGGGCACAGTTACAACCTCCCAGCATTGCTCAGGAAAGCTCTGAGCTTTTAATGTAAAGCAGCAGCTCATTATACCCTTCAAATACTCTACACTTGGATCTATTATACTGGTGGCAATAGGAACATGTGTTCCTGCTCACCTGTTGCCTCTGGTCTGTAAGAAGTTAAATTCTCACAGAATAGCAGACATTACTAGAAAAGTTCATTCTAGCTGCACAGACATTACTGCCAGTCTTTCTTTATTCTGGTATCTCAGAGTACAGTTGATTACACTTGATGTGGAGTGTGCTAGTGACATTTTCTGTGCTTCAGAGACCTCTTGTGAAGTTCACAGACTATGGATTTGAAGTTATGATTGTAGAATCATAGAATCATTCAGGTTGGAAAACACCTTTAAGATCACAGAGTCCTGCTGTTAACCCAGCACTGCCAAGTCCGCAGCTAAACTACTTCCCTAAGTGCGTGCCACATCTACAAGCCTTTTAAATACCTCCAGGGTTGGTGACTCCACCACTTCCTTGGGCAGGCTGGTGCAGTGCTTGACAACCCTTTTGGTGAAGAAGTATCTCCTAATGCCCAGTCTAAACCTCCTATGGCACAACTTGAGCCTATTCCCTCTTGTCCTATTGCTTTTTACTAGAGAGAAGAGACTGGCCCCTACCTCTTTACAATCTCCTTTCAGGTAGAGAGCTATAAAGTCTCTCCGAGCCTCCTTTTCTCCAGGCTAAGCACCCCCTGGTTCCCTCAGCTGCTCCTCATCAGACCCTTCACCAGCTTTGTTGGCCTTCTCTGCACATGCTCCAGCACCTCAATGTCTTTCTTGTAGTCAGGAGCCCAAACTGAACAAAAAGTATTCAAGGTACAGCCTCACCAGTGCTGAGTACAAGGGGATGATCACTTCTCTTGTCCTGCTGGCCACAGGTTAAATCCAAATATGGATTTGTAAAATAGAGGGTGATTAACTTGCTTTTTATTAACTGCTTATATAGACTTTGTGCATAAGATGCCATGAATATAGACATCAAGAGACAGGAATTTTTAGTAAATTAGTTAACTGGAAGTAGCAGGAGAAATTAAAGAAAGACATATTTTTAGAGAAGAAACAGAACTTAAAAAAACACCTAATAGTGAGAGCTATTAGAAATCATGGAAATGTTCACTACAGAGGGTGAAGAATATGTTTTGTCTCTGGAAATTTGAAAACAGACTTGGAACTCTGACATGTGTCAGTCACAGGTTCCCCCAGCCAGGAGTTACTAATCTTGCTTCTTAAAATATGACTACTTTTCTGATTACAATGCCTGCAAAATACAAAGGCTCACAGTGAAACAGTATTCGGATTTCAGATGGCTTGACATCAGTAGTAAGAAAATACATCCACATTCATCCCTACCATGTAAGGAAAAGACTTCAGATACTAAGGAGCTTGTACATCTCAAAGGAGAGGACTACACTTACTTTGTCATTGGTAAAAGAAATGCAACATGTATGGCTCAATGAGCTCTTTAAGCAAGAGAAATGATGTAGTTTAATCAGGACTAAACGAAGGCATAGGGTCAAAGGGAGAATCCAGAACAGTCATCCATTGATAGGGTTGTGATCAATGAAGGAACCTTATGCCAGGTATAACATGAGTTCCAAAACTGCCTCCTAAATGTGGCTACCTGAACTTTAAAAATGCTGTCATCTATGATAGATGATAGTAACACTGAAGCGGCCTGTGATAGCCACAGAAGAGAAAGAGTAATGCAGAACTAAGGACTGGGAATCATCATCTAATACAGGAACAGCCTTACTCAGCTGTATGCAATGGTTGATGTACTATTTGCAAGACATTATGTACTCCCAATGGCATAAATAAAGAAATACTGCATCTTTACTGGTGGCAAAGCCAAGCCAAAACCACATCTGTATCAATTCACAGGTCAGGTCATCTATTCAAGATGCAAATGCACACAGAGCAGCAGATGTTAGCAACTATAATCTTTGCTGTGACAAATAAATAAACCCAAAAACCTCAAAATGGTGAATTTACTGTTTTGAAAATTTCAGTTTAAGATGGAAAAACGCTTCCAGCTGACTAAGAACTGAAATCACAGGTGGATGAGCACTGCAGAGAAGCTCACAGCAGGCTTAGCAGGTACCTGAATTTGATGAAGCATGTGAACCAGGCAGGTTGGCACCAGCAGCCACCCAGAAGCTGGAAATACAGGCAACAGTTAAGGATCCAAAAAGTGGCAGAATGGTAAAAGGCAATCTAATAACAGTAGATACACTGAAAGTGCTTTATACCTTCCTTGAGATACCAAAGAGTTGCCCAAAATGTCTTGTGAATAACAGGGCTCTTCTCTCCCACAGACCTGTCAAAAGCCTTAGAAGCAAATCTAACTATACCAACAGGGAAGACTTCTACTGAGTGAGTTTACAGAGCAACAGGAGGTTCACATAATGCTTACATAAATTCTCCTACAGCAATCAGAAAGTAAGAAGGTTACTGAAAAATTAAAAAGAAAAAAGCAGTTAACCTAAAATTAAAATGCACTTAAACAATTAGCCCTGAATTTGAGAGATGTCTGCTGCCACAAGGAACAATAAACTAGAACAATAATTGCTTAGATTTATATAGCGTTTCTAGCCCTAAGGCATGTGGAGCTCTTTGCAAATGCTGATAGACAATGCCTAAAAAGACTGAGACTTTCTAACACACTAATCTCTGGTGAGGAGGGAGAGGTCTTGGTGGGGAGCTGTGCAGTTGAAACAGAAAGGAAGTAGCTGGATAGTAAATTGCTGTCCATAATAGAATTTATTCAGGTACCAAAATTAGTTTTAAACCCTGTCTTGGCCCTCTGGAATGAATGGAGAGTGTCCCAAGGGGCTTGGAATCAAATTCAGTATGTCAGCATGCATTATGAAGGATGTATTTATTTACCTAAATGTAATTGATTAACTTGCATTCAATTATTTAAGTGATATGTTTTCAATAGGTCTGGGCTTTGCCATGTGGCAGGAGGAGATGTCAAGCAGTCCAGCTGCAGGGAGCACAGTGCCATGGCCAGCAGGGCTCCTCTCTGGGCATTGGATCCCAGCCCCTGGTGCAACAGTGAACGGAGTTCTAACTACAGCTGAGAGGCAGATAACCTGTACGCTTCATTCATCTCACTGCACCAGTCCCAGCACCAGCTGGTCAGCCTGTCCTGTATTCCCAGCACAGGACACTGCTGTTGAGAATCTCAACTAAATACCATTACATCAGAACAAATTCATTTTTCAGCAGAAGCTTTCTACTTTAGGTGCATAAACCTGAATAAGTATCCAGCATTGTACTGCTGATTCAGGAAGCAGAGCTGGGATTGAATTAGGCAGCCCAATAATGGTGCTTTGTATCAGTAAAGACTCAAGAAAAATCAGATTAGAGCTTTCCCCAGCAGTTAATGTCCTGCTTTTTCATCAAGGCCTCCAAACCAATTAAAATTACCATTCAAATCACTTTGTGCAGAACAGGAGCTGCTGGCTTTTACTGTCAGGAGACCTAGAAGGATGAGAAATGTGTGGAAATCTAGATGGGAAATCTAGACCACCTTTACTGAATGAGTCCCACGAGACAGATGACTTTCCTGTTTTTTGTCATGCACTCCTTTCCTGTTTCCCTGCAACATTTTTTGCAGGAGAGAGGAAAGGAAACTTAGAGGAAAGCTGTAGATACTGAACAGGAGGGAAGCGGATGGGAGAACGCAGTAGGTGCCGAGTCTTTGCAGCAAGGGAGGAATTCTTCAAGCCCTTGGGAGAGCACAGTCAGAGCTCTCCAGGGCTCCATGTGGAAGCTGTTCCCGTTCCAGGCCAACGATTGCAAAATGCTGGGGACACACTGTTCATTATGCAAACTGGCTGCGCAAAGCTGAGAGAAATAAGAACCAGTCATGCATGTCAAAGACCAGAGAGGTTTAATTGGAAAAGACAACAATTAATGTAATTACTTAAGGTTTCCATTTGAATCAGAGAGACAGTGAAGTGAAACCCAACAATAATTGCACAGAGAGGAAATGTCGATCTGCAGCAGGATTCGCAGTCCCTGTGGCTTCTTCCCTTATTCTGCTTTTCCTATGGGCACCCTTCTTTCCAGCACCATCCTCCGACAGCACTCCAACTGTCAGCTGGATCACCAAACTTGTGTAAACAAGATTAGTTCCCTTTTTTCATAAACAGTGAACAGATTAAGAGAGGCTTTGCAGAGAGTAGCAGGGCTGAGCCAGGGGTTGGTTATGTAGGTTGTGATGGTGATATATACAAAGAGTGAGCAGGATGCGGGGTGGCAAGGACAGGCAG